CTACGGCAAATCCTTGAGTTATAAACAGCATCGAAAACTAATTCAGGTTTTCACTTCACAATCACCTCGTTGTCCGGTTTGCAGCCGGCGAGAGCATAATGAGACAATTCAACAAGCTCTTGTGCACCACATGTCATCAATGGGGCCACGATACACCGCAGCTTGATCGCCGCACCATTCCGTAATAGTTCGATGCATTTGTCCAACAGAAAATATTGGGAAAGGTACCATAAGCTTTAGTTCTTCCATGAGCGCAACCCTAACGGCACATCGTCTGTCAGGTAACTCTATGAACTCACACTAACCGTATATTGCTGCAAATTGGTTCACTGATAAGTAAATAATGTTTAGAACAAAATCTACGAAGCACTGGATGCGATACCCCTGGCAACACAGCGTCACACTTTGTGCTCCCAGTTCGCTCCAGAATTCGCACTTTCCAAATAAGACACACACATGAGCTCAAGTACACGTTTATGGCATTTATAAAAAACATACAAATACACTCCTGTCAATTGTTGTCATATTTATCTACATGGCGATCTTCCGAATTAACTGTTTATTTTAAATAATTGCAAGTGGTTTTAATGGCGGGCCGCCATCATAATTCTGCTGTTCGCTTGTGCGCTTTGTTCTATCGGTGCCTGCTGTTGACTTCTCATCTAGATCCAATGTGTTACTAGTCGTATTTGTCCGTAAATATTTTCACTATGCAAAAATCTCGTCATACATTGAATAAGCTACCTCGTGGAACTAGTAGACGGACCCTTTATCGGCAATTGTAGAGTTATTTGCCGACTTAGTGTCCACAACTGCAATCGGAGGTGCCAATTCAGGAAGCAGACAACGAATACCAACAGCCTATGGTTAGTGAGATTAATGGTACATGATCCTATTTGCTTTTAGGTCCACAACCCACATTTGAACTAAGTGATGACAATCGGTTGTGACATCGTTGCCCCTGAACACCCAAGCATTCCCACAATCCAGCCAGCATTGCATCGGTATGTATTGAGATTTTATGTGGTTAAGAGATACCGATAGGTAATAGTGTTAATCGTATATCCCAAGAGAAATGTGCTATGACGTCACTATTTGTATAGAGTGATTCTTCAAACAGTAAGTTGTTGCTAGGTCAACAGTGTTCTGAAAGCACACAAACTGGTTAACGCTCTATAAGTGCAGCCCATTTATCAGGTATACGGCGTAATGTGTAGAAGAGCAATTGGTTGTCTGGTCTTATATAATTTCAGATGTCTACGGCACTGTTGAAAACCACCACAGTTTGGTTGATATATGGCGGGCTTCTTCGGTAGAGGCTCAACTGTGCTAAACTAGTGCTGGAAATTCATAAAGCATTGCATAAAGCTACATTTGACTTGAATTGTCTGCCGATGCTATCAACATAATTTTAAAGAATCTTCGCCGATTATTCCCCAGAGTTACCGAGCGATAATCGTACTCTTTTACGTACGCTTCGGATATCGAAAAGCATATGCATGGATTCCGGAAAATATGTTCATTTTGACTTGTGTGCTTCATTCACTTGATATCAAATGAAAGCAAAACCAGCAGCTAAGGAAAATATGGTATCATACAGCCCCAGGATTCATCCCAGTACCGCTGGTCCAAGGTAGAGCATTATCGATGGAAGTGAAATTTGTATGCTATTACTTCTGGTTTTCTAGTGTCCAATCCTAACCAATTCCTCGCGATTCAGAATCACACTACTCTGTTTTACTAGTAGTATGAATGCAAATGACGAAAAATCATTGAGACAGAATGAGGTGAAGACCCAATGCGTCAGTTATTTCATGCGCTTTGGTCGGTTTACTAACCTGTAGGGTAATCATCTGAGGAATCAGCTGAATATATTTTCACTAAAATTTGTACTTCAGTCTACCGCGATGACATACAGATAGAATGAGAATTTCCATTATAGAAAATGTCTAACAACAATAGTGGAATTTTCAATCATACACTAACTATTGTATGCAATAGTTATTATAGTTAAACGGCACTTTCGCCTTTTGCCCACGAGTCCTCTTCTATTCGAAACAAGCTTTTGTTTTACTAGGTGCATTATGTAAGGTAGCATCAGGTCCGCCCACGTGAGGCCGTGATTGCTCGTCCAAGCGATTTTATAGACCCAGGATACTTCCAACTAGTCGCAACGATTACCCAGTGCGACCAGGAGATCTCAAAGACCAACGTAAACTAAATTGAAGGCAGATTGCGAGACCTGAACCAAAGCACTATGTTTGAACGTAAAATGCAGTGGCGTCGCACGGTGCGTTGAATGACAAAGGTGGAAGTGTCTGGAAGCAACGCACGTCAATGTTCAGCAAAACAAGAATGTGACGTAAAACATGAGCGACAAAGCAGAGTCCCTACAAATTACCTGTTTACGCTCAACCGCGGAATTGTCACCTGTCCCGGTGCGTCACGCTACCCCGTTGCATGTGTAGACCTTTAGTGACTAAGGCGTTGCTGATGTTCGTCAGAAACTGTTGCTGTTTGCCCACGTACGTTCTGAATATCCGTATCAAGAGTAAACAGCACCAAGGATTGGGATTGTAGAAATAATATATTCTGAAACTTGCGAAATGTTGGAAGTGAGTTTGGCCATGTCTAGGCTGTTATTTTAGCAAGGGCAGCTGAAACCTCAAAGTAGATTTGATCAATGCAAGGAAAGCGTCCGATGCAAAGCTCACCGTGGGGAATTGTGACGGTGCGGTTTTTAAAAGCACGATAATAGTTGAAACAAAACTTAGTTCTGGAAGTGTCCAATTTGCTATATCAAGTGAAGAAACTTTCTCTAGAAAGATCGATATCGCCAAATAATGGCGATAACTGCTAAATCTCGACGGTACACTTGATTGTGCACGGTAGAGAAGAAGGGTGTTTATGTTAGAAGGAAAAGATCAACGGTAGTACAGCTTTCGTAATTAATCTACCTGATCGACATATCGATAGCCTATAGGCTAAATCACTGCTTGATATCCGAACCTTGATGGTTCTGATAAACATGCCATGGTTATGCAACCATGTCCTGATAGTCGTCAATTAAACAGGAATGGTTGGAAACTGAACCTATCCTGATACTAGTCACCAGCGTAGGGTGAGGTGCTTCGGGTCCGTGATTTGATTATCACGTCCAGTTCGAGTGGATCTATCAGGAAACTTCGAGAAAAACAAGAGATAGGAAGAGTGAAGTGCAGTTGCGAAACTGTCAGTTGAAGAACCGCTACAAACCTGTCAATCTCTGTCTCGCTCTATAAACCGTTCGTCATGCGCTGTCCGTTCACTGTAACCAGGATCGTTGAGGATATTCGATTTTAGTTGTCATAGATAGCGTAAGGTATCTAAAAAATTCCATCACATACACGACCGACTAAAGTTCCTATAGATGTTGTACCTGGAGAGCTGAAACTTGAATAATCCAATTGGAGACGACTACAAAAAATGCATTAGTTTGAACACGAATACCTGGTAACTCCAAATAAAATTTTTCCCAACAATCACCCCACGAAATCGAAGTCCTTCGGGCCCCAGGAGAATGAAGTAAGACATCACATATATATGAAGATTATTAGGGTATATTATTGCAAAAGCTGGCAGTCTCCAAGTGTCCTCCGGGCCCGAAAATTTTACTGGCATAGCGGTGAGATGATGGGCGATACTCACAGTACGAGGATATGCATGCAGTGACGGATGTGTTTGGCGAGACGCGTTCTTTCATCGGTATCGGGAAGAGAACTCACTTGCAGATTGAGAAATTATTTTGAGAGGAGATTAGGTGAAACGATATCCGGCCTAGCTTTGAGATAGTTCAATTGGTAAATCGTTCTGTTTCTATATTTGCATGTTAGATGCTAGGGATATTTTGTAATGAAAATGAAATGAGGATGGTATTTGTTGTTTTTGATTTTATTTTAGAAATGTTGATGCTTAAATGAAGATGATTACGTGATGATGATGATGATGATTATGTGATATTGTTGCAAAAGGTGGCAGTCTCCACGCGCCGTCCGGGCTACCATTGGCCTGCCATTCACAGGCGCTATCCCGCTACCGCACCACGCGGGGACTTTTGCCTGCTGGATTTCTCCCCTGGGCCGGTTCGCCCCTCCTTAGACGACCTGGACAGTTCGGCCTCCGCCAAACCATCCATATCGGCGCCGTGCTTAGCGTGGACGCCCGATCAACATGCACAAACCAACAGCAGGACTCCCGGACCCGCGAGATTCCGACACCAAGCCTCCAAGTAGCTGGATTACAGGCGCGCGCCACTACGCCCGGCTGGTCCAGTGTGTGAATAATTGTATTCACAACCTTATCAGAAGAGAATTCTCTGTGTGCGCACATACGCGCACATACACGCCTTCGCAGACCACTAGCTAAAATCTGTCGTGCACACACGTGCACACACGCGCGCGTATGAACGAACACACACATACACAACACAGCAACCATTAGGCGCAATTGACAGATCGGACAATTTCCGCGTGTCTTCAGGCTCTGCAGCTGGCACGTGGTCCAACTACTTCCGGTTTGGGTGGTGGCATTATCACCGAAATAGCCAAATTACATTTTGATGTAATGTCTGTATTCAAAGAAAATGAACTAAATACGGTTATCATACCCCTGAGCTCACAGGGATATTTTGAACAGAAAAATACAATATATCCTTATATGTATATACATTTATTATTCAAGTAGGAGCATATCCATCACGCATTCACGGCTTGAAGAAAGTAAGCGAACAGCTGCATAACAGACTCAGTAGTGAGGCGGATATCGGGAAAAATTGTTCAATAATTCAAATGATCAGAATTACGTCATCATGTTCATCGACATTGGTCAATACCTCCGTTTGTATATAACTTTACAAAGTGGCGCATTCATGTTTTCGATGGGACCGCATTTACAAGTGCACAGGGATGTTGTTTTCATCACCAAATTCCAAACAGGCGATTTCTTCTTCAAAAAGACATTCATCAATAGACACAATGAGTAAAGTCCTCGATCAGATCCCATTCACCCTCTGGTAGCTGCATCACCGACTGAATCGATGTGGATTTGAACCCAGCTTTCATGAAAGCGTTGATCAGTACGTGCGGATGCACAGACACCCAAGCTTTCCTGACCAGATGCATGCCCATGAGAATGTCCACCTCGGCTTTCATGATACGCTGCTCATCTTCGATCAAAGACAAAAATATTCTACTAAATGTTTCCGGAACGAACATTTGAAAGAACAATTCACACCCTGGTCCATTGGTTGTAACATTGAATTACAGTTCGGAGGCAGCCGTACTAAGTTGACATTGGAGAATACTGTGGCTTGGTTATGGCAAGAGGCGCGTTTGAGAAACCATTTGACATCGGACAGTCAACTATGAAATAACGCAGTCATCCATGCGTTCTCTGCAAACCTATAACTGCATGGAAGGCTTTTTCTATCCATACCTCGGAGGCATCGTGGAGCTGGAAACTTTCCAATCACCAACGTTAATAACGTTTCTTCAGTCATGCTCCCACGAGGCAGTAACGTGACCCTCTCTTTGGATTTCCTGGATCCAGAAACTGTTTTTCCTTTAAGACCTAATGTTAGTTCTGGGAGCTGCCTGTAATACAAAGCTGTTCCATCTGAATTGAATATATCACAGTCGGTATATCCACGGATCAACTGCAGTAACCCCACTCGAAACTCGTCCACCGCATCACGTGGTACAGCTAAACTTGCCCCACAAATCTATAAAGTAATGCACATGAGTTGCTTGTCTCTTACTTTGTAAGATTGAATCCCACCTCTGTCTGACCAAGAGCGAAACCAAACCTTGAAAGCCTTGAGGTCACGTTAATGCATTCTTCGTGCTAGGTGGATTACCTTCCTACAAATGGTGCTCTCGACCATGGGGAACTAATCGTGCTTTTCCCTCAGCAGTAAATCAAGCTAAGGTTGCCTCATTCACTGTCTTGAACTTCTCGTCGGTTTTCAGGTGACATCTTTCCTCAGATGCTCCAGCGTTCCAAGATTCTCCGATAGTCGTCGTTTGATGGGATATAACATTGTAGACAGTTGTTCTTGAAATTCCAAGTGATTTGGCTGTGGAGCTCTGAGTTGCACCTGGCTGATTCAGCATTTCCAACACATTCTGCTTCTCTCCGATCGATTGGCGCTTGCACATTTTGACGTCAAATGACCCTGTCTCCGTGCGCTTGCATCGGTGTGTCTTCCTCGCAAGGATTATCCAATCAGTGATTAGTGGCATAGACGCGTCACACTGGGTGAAACGGCATTGGCTGAGTGCGACATTTCAGGGTGGATGATGAATGGTCGTCCCGAACATCGGTCAACGACCAAGTGAGTAGGTATCAGGAACTGCGACATATTGAGGAGGAGTAAGGGGGGGGGGAGGAGGGCGGGCGGG